TCTTTTCTTATTTATTGTTATTATTTTTTAATTTGCTATAGGATATGTGTGCTCACCAGAGAGAGAGAGGGAAAGTGAGAAAGCAAATGCCAGGTCCAGGACTTGAACCACAGTTGGCCATGTGGGAGTCCAGTACCTCAACTACCACACCACCTGCTGGCCTCATAACATGTGCTTTTAATCCATGTTGAATTTACATACCACTTCACAAGTATTTTTCATAGCAGGCAGGGAGAGGCCTGGGGCCTGCTTTTCCTCAGTAACACCCTTCCCAGGGCTTCACCATCACAGCCCTGAGTTCTGGGTACACTCTGTTGAGGTTTGCCTGTCTTTTAAAGGTGAGTAGGTCAAACAGGTAAATGGTCAGGTCCTTCCCAAGGCCTCCCTGGTCTCTGCATTCTCCATATAGCTCCTGCTCCAGCTGATGCTCAGTTTCAGAGGGTTGTCTTTCCTAGAACTTTTTTTTTTTTTGGAGAGATTTTTTTCGCTATAGGGCACATGCGTTCGCCACAAAGACAGAGACATAGAGACAGAAAGTGAGAAATCACCCCCCAGGGGGGATGGCCACGCTGCAATCCCTTCTCCTCCATTCTCCTCTCGGGATCTTGGGCACGCACGCACACGCACCTGGTGTGAGTTTTAAGCCACCAGGTCCGGGACACGAACCGCAGTAGACTATGTGGGAGTCCAGCGACATAGCCATTACGCTAACTGCTGGTTCCCTCCTAGAACTATTTTTAGGAGCAAGGAAGTGATACCTCTATTTCCCATCTGATTTTAGTAATCTTTTTTCCCCCTGTGTGTCATCCAGCATGACCTCTGGGCCTGGGCCCCATTCCCTGGAGTTAGATGAGTAAAACTCAGGCTTTGCCCTCCAGAACCTCGTAGCCTAGCGCTGCCTCTGCTCTCATCTCTCCTCTCCTCTTCCAGGCTCCTGGAGTCCATGATCCCTATCAAGATGGTCAACTTCCCCCAGGTGAATAGGGGGTGACATGTCTGGAGAGCTAGGGGAGGCACCAGGGCAGAGGGTGGGGCCCCCAGGCACTGTCTGGAAAGGTATAAACAGAAGAGCCATTGTACCCTCCAGCCTGAATGAGTTGGTATATTGACAGAAAATCGCAGGAGAACTCTACGGGCCTCTTATGCTGGTCTTCACGCTGGTTGCCATCCTCCTCCACGGGATGAAGACCTCTGACACCATTATCGTAAGCAGGACAGAGGACTTTGGGGGGTGGCTTAACCAGGTTAAAAGCTGCCAGAGATGATGGTGGAGTGAGGTAGAAGTCCCTGAGTGAGGCTGATACCAGAGGCCTCCCAGAACTAAGTAGAGCCTTCCCCCAACAGCGGGAGGGTACCCTGATGGGTACAGCCATCGGCACCTGCTTCGGCTACTGGCTAGGTGTATCATCCTTCATTTACTTCCTCGCCTACCTGTGCAACGCCCAGATCACCATGCTCCAAATGTTGGCACTGCTGGTAAGGAACCAGGCGTAGTCATAGGCAAGGGTGATCTTTTTAATTTGCTGTGGTTGTGTGCATCATTGGAGAGGGGTGGGAAAAGGGGGGGAGGCACTGGGCATGGTCATGCCACAGTCCCTTCTCCATTCTCCTTTTGGAATGTTGGACACACACTTAGCGTGGTTTTTAAGCCATTGGGTCTAGTATTCGAGCTACATGATTGGCTATGTGGGATCTAGCCACCTTAACCTGCACACCACTGGCTGACTCAAGGATGATCTTAAAAAGAATAACTAGAACTTGGTCTGTGCTTTTCCTGGGGCCCTAAAACCTGGAATGGTAGGCTCATGCCAGTGAGCCATTTATTTATTTCCCAGGGACCTTTTGTGGGGCCAGAGGTCAGCCCAACTGAGTCATTTTCTTCTCCACCACCCCTCTTCCCAGGGCTATGGCCTCTTTGGGCACTGCATTGTTCTGTTCATCACCTATAACATCCACCTCCATGCCCTCTTCTACCTCTTCTGGCTACTGGTGGGTGGGCTGTCCACACTACGCATGGTAAGCTGGGCAAGAGGGTTCTGGGGTGGGCTGTCCCCCTGGGGACTTGGGGGAGACCGTCTGGAGCCATCCAGCTGTTCACCCAGTGAAGGGCTCTCAGTGGGAGGGAAGGGCCAAAGATGATTCTTCCTTGGGCAGGGGTACCTTCACCTTGCCCCCACTTTGGAGTCGGGCCCTCTGAGCTGTATTACTGTGACCCTAGGTAGCAGTGTTGGTGTCACGGACAGTGGGCCCCACACAGCGGCTGCTCCTCTGTGGCACCCTGGCTGCCCTGCACATGCTCTTCCTTCTCTATCTGCATTTTGCTTACCACAAGGTGGTAGAGGGTAAGTGGCGGGGCCTGAGAGGGAGACGGGGAGTGGCTGCCTAGGGTAAAGGCTGGGCACGATGGCCTGTGGGTGGACCACCGCTCCTTCACTTTCCTTGCTCCTCCTTTCAGGGATCCTGGACACACTGGAAGGCCCCAACATCCTGCCCATGCAGAGAGTCCCCAGAGACATCCCTGCCGTGCTCCCTGCTGCCAGGCTTCCCACCACCGTGCTCAATGCCACAGCCAGAGCCATCGCAGTGACTCTGCAGTCACGCTGACCCCACTTGAAACCCTTGGCCGGCCCCTCTGTCCCAGCTGTGGAGCGGAGGAAGATTAAAGGACAGTACTGATGACATGTCTCTTTGATGGGGTCTGCAGCTGCCACTGAGCTGTAGCTGCTTAAGCACCTCCTTGAGGCCTGTCGGGGCTTCTGAAGGGCACAAGGCCTTGAACTCCTGGCCAGGACTGCAAAGCTATGCAGCCCGTGCAGAAAGTGGGTCAGCTCCTCTGAGGCCCCCTCACCACCTACCCCTTCCTTCCTCTTTCTCCCACATTGTCTTGCTAAACATAGACTTGATAATTAAAATATTGATTGAAGTCTGGAACTGCAGCTACCATTCCAGTGGTCCTCCCTGCCACCGTACTTCCTGTACATGTTTCCTGTCCTGTCAGCAGTGGTAATGTCACATATTCCCTTCTCTATACCCTCACCTAGACGGGGTGACAGTGGGACAGGCCAGACTGCATGGAAGGCAGTGACCGAATATGGAAACCGCCCCTGGGAGTAGGGGACACCTGCCCCACGGGGTAGCAGGGAGGCTTCAAGCACAGGAGCCTTCCACCTGATGGAGCAGTGCGGTGAGTCTGGGCTTGGTGCAGTCATAGAAGCCAGTGGAACAGTAATTGCACAAAATCTTCCAGGCTGTAAAGCCTATAGTGCGAGGCCCTTCTGTGTCTGGGCCACGTGGGCGTTGCGTTCCATAGGGCTCACACGTGAAGCCAAGCTGGGCTCTGCCTGGCTATACTGGGGCTAGCTCCCTTCAGTTCTCTGCCCTTCCTTCCCCTTGGAGCGGGCGGCTGACTTAGAAATAGCCAGCACGCCTTCAGTCTGCTTCACTTGTGAAGTGAATACAGGTGCTTAAAAGAGGGAGTAGGGCCTTTGACCTCCCTTTGCTATGCTTAAATACTGCTTTTTCAAAAATTCTCAGGGCTAGAAGGTGGCATGGTTAAGGTGCTGGATCCCATATGGCCGACTATGGTTCAAGTCCCAGACCCAGTGGCCTGAAAATCACAAGAGGTGCCTGTGCATGCATGCCCAAAGTCCTGAGAGGAGAACGGAGGAGGAGGGATTGTGTTGGGACCATCCCCTAAAGATCATTTCTTACCCCTCTAGCTAGCACACACAATGACAAATATTTTTTTTTTAAAAATCCGGCCAGCAGGTGGCGTGGTGATTAAGGTGCTGGATCCCACAGGGCTGACAGTTGTGTGGTTTGAGTCCCTCACTGGGCTTGATAAAAAGCCTATGTGTGTTCCCAAAATCCTGAGAATGGAGAAGGGATGTAGTATGGCCATCCTCCCTGGGGGTGATTTCTTACTTTCTCTGTCTGTCCAGCTCCTGTGCACTGTAGCAAACTGAAAAATAAAATAAAAATTCCTCTCACCGTAGTAAATCTGGGTCAGCAGCATGTTTCCCTCCTAATAGAACTACAGAAAGAGGTGCCCTTCATTTGTCCAGTGCTACACAAATGAGGCCTCCACACACCCGCGGTGGACGACGTTTTAACGGCGCGAGGGCGGGCTGCCCGGCCCGATTACAGGGCACCACCGCGGCTGCAGTCGCTGATCCTGGCAGTCTGGCACTGAGACGACGACCGCAGGGCCCTGCGCACCTGAGGAAGAACAAAGCCAAGACCCTGCCTTGCTCTAGGGACCCTTTAAGAAGCTGCCTTGTGGGCGAGGAGCAATTGGGAAGTCCTGGCGGGCTGGAATCCCCACGCACGCTGCGTCTCGCGTCATGAGGGTAGGGGGACTGGGCGAGGCAGGAATTAAAGACCCTGAGGACTTAAACACTGGAGAGGAGGCGTGGCGGGGTTTCGGCAAAGGTGCCGAGTGTCTGGACCCCTAGGAACTGGGGAGACAGGAAAATAGGCGAAAGAGCCGGTAGCGGTGTCCGACGCCATCTCCCACGTGACGCGCCTCCATTCCCCGCAGCCTCCCTGTCCCGGCCTCTGTCCTGCTGTCGTCTACCTGCTGCCTGGTCCCACACCCAGGGGAGGTGACTCGCCGCTGCCAGTCCTTTGCCCTGAAGCACCCAGTGCGTGCGGACCTCGTGGACCAGCGTGGCCTAAGCCGGGCAGGGGGCGGGGCGAGCCGCGGTGACGCGCCCGTTGCCATGGGAACCCGCCGCCCGCTCCGGCGCAGGGTCTGAAGCCGGAGCTGCAGCCCGCCGCCCGGCTGCCGGCTCCCGGGTCTCCGGGCGCGCAGGGGGGGCCGG